TTGAAATGGTAAAGATAATATATATATACTATATATATGATATATACTATTAATAATTATATGATATATATATAATAGCATATTTTCGACTTCCGCACTTTGCGATGTGTCATACACGCGGCTCCCAACTCTTGCGTCCAATGTCATAGTAATGTCTACCGCCTTCTCTCTAGTTCTTCGTATTCTTACGTGTCTTCTATATCGTTCTTCTCCATTATATGGTCTTTAATTATCTTTATTTTAGCCTCCCGCATAAGGCGGCCATACACTTATTGAAATGATTTCATTCAGCACATTCTACACACGCACACACCACCACAGCACACACACACACACACACACACACACACACACAAATCACATCACACACACACACAGGCGGATTACACACGACGCACGCACGTGATATTACTGGATGGCCTCAATCCTTACGTGTCTTTTGCCTATTAAAATTCGATTATTTTATTAAGTCTTTGCAGAATCAACCGCGGTGTACAGGTCATTTACGCTATCTGCCAAAATTTATTCACCTCATAAGTATACGCGATTACTCCGCAAGCGGATCTGGTGACGTTGATCGTGGTTTATGAACTGGGGTTAGCAGCACATTAGTCTATTGCCTTTCCGTTGTATTTATTCTTTAAGTCCTCCTTATATGGTAGTGCCGGATTCTCGCTAGGCAATATGCGTGCGTAAGCATTAGTGCTGATGTACATTATCAACGTCGTCCATTAGACTAACAACGCCTCACCGTTGCATGTGTACTGCCATTGTTTTTCATAATTATATATAGGGCCGTAAATTCGAACTCGACATTTGGTGTGAAAGAATTCCGAATAAATGAAATTAACCCCTCGTTTATTCGTACCCAGCAGTGAGTGTGTCTAAAATTATACCCACGGTTATCTTGGGCGGCAAAATCTTAGAATGTATTCTTAGTATATGTGGCGTCACGTGCCGCGTATATGAGAACTATGCGGAGGTCGGAGGCTGTGTGAGTTGCGTGTTGAATTTACGACGGTCACACTTAGTCGGGGGGACGAACGCGCGACATAAATGTCTGAACAGCTCTATGGGGGAAACGGAGAAAGAATGAAGCTGAAAGACTGCGAGGAGCAATTTTATATTTCCCCCGCTATTTTTTTGGTTTTAAATGTGCCGCTCTTTGTGCGCGTTTGACTTAAGATTTGATGCATTTCTACGATTTATACCTTATTAGTCGATTTAATTCCTTAGACGTGCCGCCTGCTGCACTGTCACCTCTTACGTCCTTGTCACGAGAGTTGGAAGAGAGGATGAGCGTCGTCGAGATGAGAGGAGAGAGTGAGAGATCGAGAGCGAGAGACGAGAGAGAGAGAGAGAGAGAGAGAGAGAGAGAGAGAGAGAGAGAGAGAGAGAGAGAGAGCGAGAGAGAGAGAGAGATAGCACGGTCATATTTTTACAGGAATTTCGCGGCACCCGCGGGACAGATTACTTCCTCTTCGTAGTATTGTCACAGCGCACGTCCCTATAGTAACACCGGCGACGCACACCGACGCAACACTGTCGGCGATAATGGCGCATACGTTACGACATCAACCAATGCGCTAACGATGTGTGCCAGCCTTTAAGCGTGGTGGGGTCGCTCGCATCACCACATCAATCCCAACGCCCGCGGACTTCGACTGTGCGGATGTTTGTTGACACACCGCCAGAGAGGGGCACTCTCACTTTCGCCTTTGTCGTCGTTGCCGCGTCGTCTGCAGCCGGTGCTTGCGACAGATTGCCCTTAATTTGCGCGGCGGCCATGTTTAATTTCGACCTCGCCGGGGTAATTTGCGACGTGGTCTCGGTTCACTTATTTATCGTACTTTCGGGATTTGCGGCCTGGCCATGCTGAGTGCATGGAATGTATCGGATTCTAACGGTGATGTGGTGAAAAATGTTCGTTCGTAGATGTTCGACGACGAAAATTTGAAAAATTATGTGCTTAATCAGAACGTTAAAAGCGTCTTCTCACCTAACCAAATCAATTGTATAAATTTGCAACTACTCACAGTCAAACATACGTAAAGACTAGATTGAACTGTGGATCAATGTTAGCAAGAGCTAATAATAATAAGAGGTATTATTAGCTCTTGATGTTAGTTATAGCGCGGAAAATGAACTACGGTAATGAGGCGTGAGGACAAGCGGCTACGCTATATGCTCGGAATAAACATAATTCCAAACAATTACGTGCATGTTTTGTGCCTGCCCTACATACATCGGCAGGAGTAAAGGCAATATCTTAAATTAACGTACTTCTTCCAGATTTTGCGCTTGGCCGAACATTTTAAACGGGTGGGTAGTTTAGTGCTGAAGCTAGCCATCGTTACGTCACGCAGCTTACGTCACGCAACATAGGCTACGTCACGCAACATACGTCACGCAGTCCCATCTGGCAGCACAGTTAATAGGCAGAGAGAGGTGCGCGGTGATGCAATTATTTGAAATTAGAGGCAGTAGCCTCAGAAAAAGAAATAATATGATTTAAAATAAATTAGTTAATTAAATGAATAATTTAAATTTAAAAACGTTTGAAAATTTAATGTTACCAGTTTTCTTATTATCGATAGTGTCTCAGCCATCACTATTTAGTTTATAGAACATACAAGCGTAGAACGCAGCGTGCATCACAGTCCGCGATATTTCGGTGGTTATATCTCTGATCTCATTCTTGAAATGATACTTCGAATTCACAATACGGTGTGGGAGTTACTGCATTTCTATGTCTTCTTTGCACAGCATTGCCACGGGACTAATTAAATTTGTGATTTTTCCATGTGTTTTATTTTGATTTATTTAGTAAACGAAATAGAAATGGGAGGATGGTGTGAAACTAAAAATAACACGGAAAATGCAGAATGGAATGTGCGGAATATACACGATAGACGAAAAAAACTATAATATTAGATTCACTCTTAGAAACGGCGCAGACAAACCACGTTAGCTACCAGCGCCACCTTGTTTCTCTGCTCGCCAAGGCTCATTGAAAACAGCCGAGGCCTGACAAAATAAAGTTTATTTTAAGCAGAAGTTATTATAGCAGAATAACGAACAAAGTTTATACGATAACATTGATAAGAAAAGCGGACGATGCTTTCGACGAAATTGGACGGAGTGGCAACATACACAACGTACCACGTTTTTTGCTCTTCAAAAGATTGTTATGATCCAAGGATAATTACGATATGTTAGCCTCGCTGTATAACGGCACGCTTGTGTGCACACCGTAATATAAATATCGATATCTTTACACGTTTTCTCTGTATTCGCTCGAGCTTAGTAGACTACGTTGTTAAAAAATATTGCGTGTGTAAAATTCATGTGATTTTATGCACATAATTAATGTTGGCACATTATTTACCAAGATAATGGTGTTATCGGCAACATTTATGTGGGAGTTTTTTTGCTCTATAACAGTAGCTTTTTCCCCGTAACTCGGAAATTTTCGTGAAAAATTTAAAATTTCTGGAAACACATCTCTTTTTCCTATCAAAAACATGGTATAGACGACGAAAGGTATAGTGCGCATGTTTTAACCTGATTGCCTGCCGGCTTGGCTGCCTGTCTACTTACCTATCTCCCTACCTGTCTATTTGTCATGCGTATACCGAATCACGTATCCCTTGACATGACGATTTCACGTAAACATTTGTCAAATAATAGCATTTCGAAAAATCACAAATTCACTTCATCGCTTATAGACGTGTGCATGGATGCGCGCGTGGCATGCCGCATACGAAATGTGAATCCATCTATAGCTTCCATCTATGCTCGGCTAGGCTAGAGAGGCTCGCCTGCCTGCTGTTGTAATGGATGACGTAAGTAACTGTTGTTTACGACAACGCCCGCTCCCTCGTGTATCGCTGTGCGGCGATGGAGCTTCCGTAATCCGTATGCAAGCAGTAGAGACTCGCAGTACACGCCACACACATACACACGCGCACACACACACGCGCACGCGCGCGCGCACACACACACACACACACACACACACATACACACGTGCGCGCGTCTCAGCGCACGTATCTCTGAGTAACACTCTCTACTGGCATAATATCTCTTCT